AGTTTGAGCCTTCTATAATAACAGACTGTTAAAAATTTTGACTCGTATTATTATCATCAGAGGTCTGAAATTCCTACTCTGACCAGGGGAAATTGAAATTACGACTCTGGCTATGACTCCAATGAAAATATTTCCAGACCACTACAGAAAACGGTCATATTTTTCATTCAAGATTTGCAACAGCAGCTTCTAACCATGTTAATTAATTGGGTATCCAAGTTGCATTTTAAAAACTCAGATAATTCAAATAACCATTTGAGTACAAAGAGAAATTATTTCTTGAAATTACAGTTAGTTAGCCCCATATTGTTTATATGAGTTTGAAGGAATGAAAATGCATTGTTAATGGGACCTTGACGGTTTTCAGTTAAAAAATTATCGAGCTGACATAAGAGTTGAAAATATAAATCAATCGAAACGATGTTTCTTTCACTACCCTGTGCTACTATCTATCAATTAAACTTATAAATTTATAATCAAAAATAAGGAAATATTCAGTTTTGAATATGCTTGAATGTGAAATATTACTACATAACCGAAAAGAAGAGCAGACACTATCATAATATGTTCAAATAGGTAGGCTACTGTTTTGTAAGAAATGATAATCATTCGAAATCACATCATGATATTCGTCACATTCAGTGTTAAAATAACAATAGAAAAGATGATTGAATGTAAATAAAAGAACAAAGGACCATTAACAACCGTTACCTCATATGGCATAAGGATAGGGTTTTACAAATTGAATAATATCGATTTATATAAACTTGAAGTGAAGCTTGCCAAGCTTCTATCATGAATATGCAATTGTACATCAATCATTGGTAAATACGTACATCCTCGCATATAAGTCGATCTCCTAAAATGGCCCTAAAACGATGAATTTATAAAATTTGCATATAAGCCGACTCTACAAATCGTACGCTCTCATTGTGAGAGCTTAGCATAGAGTTGTAGCTGGTCGAATTATGTTAGCATAATGTCATTTCGTTTGAGTGCGATCAGAGATATGTGCATTTAAGCAAAATTTTGAGTGAAATCAGAGTTATGCGAGTATAAACCAACCCCTTAGTTTGACACCTTTTTTGAGTTTTAAACTCAGCTTATATGCAAGAATATACGGTAATAGTAAATACAGAATTTTACTCGAAGATCGACCGATATAGAGAGACAAAAAGCAAAATTTATCACCTTGCATAGTTCCATTCTTGAAATGGCAGCATCAAGTTCATCTTTCATCGTATCAGCCTTAGCAGACATAACTTGGATATTAACTCCTGGGTTATATTGTGCTTTATATGCTTTCTGCCATGCTAAATGTGCATTGTCTCTATCCAGTACAAGTCTCTTCAATCTCTCTCGAAGCTTTTGAATGTTGGGTATATCAGTCTAAATAGAATTATTGCAGAACTTGTAAGCAAGCAAAAAATATGCTGATGAATGCGAGTGAAAGTAAAGCAATAGGGAAAATGTGAATCTGTGATACAAAATGATGAGCGTCATAACTCAATTAATGATATTTGGATGAAAACGGGTACTTTTTGACTATTAGCATTAGAATAAACCTGATATTAAACACTGATAACCAATGATGTATGGTGCTACTATTCTTTGGGAGGATCAGAATCTTTTTGGTTCGGAATTGCCTATCCAGTTTATTACACCCTGGAAGTGTGCATGGGATATGAATTCGAGAGTGATTCTAACAGTTACATCTAATGTTTTAGCCACTCCCATTTCAAATATATTCCAAACATTATTAATTGAATGACAATTAGAAATATAAACACAAAATATACATACCTTTAGTTTTAATATTACATTACATTTATACATTTAGTTTTAATAATATCTTACTATGCACAACGAAGCGGTGGGGAATTGCAAATAATAAATATTAGACAGAAGTAATTAATTAGTATTGATTATGCCAACTTGAGATTTCAAAAGCAATTAACTGTCATCAATATTTCATCAATTTTAATTCACAAGAATATATTTATCAGTCAGCAAAGGTAAGCTCTGAATGACTGGATTTAATTTACCGTATATAAAAAAATGACAGCAATAGAAAATTGAATACATCAGAATTGGAACTAGAGATTTTGGGGCAATGTTTATTTTTTGGGAAATTAGGTCAATTTAGATATTCCAAATCAAGGACAAGCAAAAATCCTAGAGAGGTATCAGAACACAGACATCTTTTACTCATATCATATCCGATCTATAATCATAAGTTTCATCACACAAGCACAGATATTTACCTCTACGAGGGTATGAAGTGGGTCTATAACATGGCCCTCGACAAACATTTCATAAACCGCTCGTTCTTTGGCAATCCCTGTTTCAGCCTCAGCACAAACTTTCAAAGATTTCCTGAAAATTGAAGCATTCTTAATAAGATTCATAAATATATACTAAATGTATTAGAGAAACTTCCATTCTTAAGTGATAGATAACACCGTTTAACTTTTCCTGTTGGCTTTTGATCTGAGGAAATCACATCATCCCTTTGGGATATGGGAGAGATGGGATTTGCCTAAAAACAGGATTTTGTGGGAAAGTGTAAAATATAACAGCATAAAATTTTCATTATATGATCAGCCTGATGCTATTACGTTATTTTTTTGAAGTTCCAGTGATGTATTTCTTCTATTCTATGTAAGAAATTCTGATTAAACAAACACACGTTAAATAACTTTTTGGCAACCAAAAAGACTTACGATTAGTCAATCAATAAAAATTATTTTTTTATTATCGATTCTAGTCAAATGCCAATTTTGCAAATAAGTCCCCATATGGTCGAATATAACAATTCTCATCTATCGGGGAAACTATGGCCATCGAAATATGATAATGAACCTATTACTATATAGAAAGGATGTAGTCCCCATATATGGTCAAACATAACACGATTCTCATCTTTCGGGGATACTGTGGCCATTGAAATATGATAATGAACCTATTACTATATAGTAAAGATGTAGTCCCTATATATGGTCAAACATAACAATTTTCATCTTTCGGGGAAGCTGTGGCCATTGAAATTTGGTAATGAACCTTTTACTATGTAGAAGGGATGTAGTCCCCATATATGGTCAAACATAACAATTTTCATCTATCAGGCAACTATGGCCATTGGAATATGATAATGAATGCTACACCTACACCTATAAAGAAAGGATGTGGTGATAGAAACCAAGTTTCCTATCACAACAATAAGCAGTCATGAGCTAAAAGGAGGAAGTCACAGTTTCTACTAAGTCGCGTAGCAGATATTAGAAATACAATAGGCCGAAGTACGTCATTTCAGAAAATCTTTCGATCTATTTGAAGGTAAGATAGATCTGTCAGTTCAATCAGGTCTGGTCCACATATAAACAAGTGTTTTTGTCCATTTTTGACTCAACTTTAAATACGCCTCTGCATTTTATTATTAATAATGCCATGAGAAACAAGCCATATCGCATTATACAATGCAATGCATATCAGAAATAGTAACCTCAAGACAATGACTAAAGAAGTCTTATACAAATAGATGAATACTTCCATAGTAGCAAATAAGTAAACAAAATATGTAACAAAAAACCACTCCAGTGAAAGAATGATATCTCAGAACAAGACCAATACACGCATTTTCGTGAAATATCATATACTTTCATAAAAGATAGCCTCGATAATTTCATTCTCTTTCACAAAATCACACTTACTGTAAAGCACTCTCAGATTCAGCAGCAAGCTGATTACTTGCTTCTAACATAGCATTGGCAACTGCGGTTTCTGGTAACTTTTTCTGTGAAAATTAGAAAACAATATTTGCTTCGAATTCAAATAATAGATTCTTTATTATTAAGGAATTAGCAATACCTTGTACAAGTGAAACCAAAAACAAATAAAATACACACAGAATGTTTGTACGCGATTATTAATTTTTGGTCATATTTTTAATAATTAAAATTATAAAAAATTTTCAATGAGGAATTTGGCATCTGATAATAAAACAAAAACTTCTGTGAACTGTGTAAAACAGAAAATGCGATTAAACAATCTAAATTTTGGTCTATGTCAAAATTTGTGTTTTGCTTTAGTTAATTTTGCGGACATAATAGCACTGAATGATGTTTGTGGTTGAGTATATTTTTGGAATGAGTAATTTTATGGAAAAAAATTTAAATTTTGGTCGCTTGAAAACGACCGCCTAAGAACCACTGCTATAATATATACCAGGGGTGTGCAACCTGCGGGGCAAATGCGGCCCAGAGACAAAAATTGTGTGTTGTGTTGACATATGGACAAGTTAATAAATAACACAGTAAAATAAAATGTCACTTTGGAATCGGCATACATATTTTTCACATGGGATTGTTAAAACATTTAAAACTCTCACCAGTCTTTTATCTAAATCAGGACCGCTGGACTGTAAGCATTGTGATATCTTTTTATACACCGATGAACAAGCCAATCTTGTGTGTTCGAGTCTCTTTTCAATTAGTAAAAGTTCATCTGTCAATACTTCACTTTTATTAGCTCTGGAATTAAAAAAAAGATATTATTTAGAAAACATGCAACATTAATAAAAAATGAACTGTTATTACCATCCAAACGAAGTCATATGTCGAAAATAGGAAATTTAAATAAATCATTATATGAATGTAGCCTTTTGCTGATAATTATACCATTGAAGAAACAAGCCTGCAGTTAATGATGATCACCCTACATATTTTGGCAAGTTGTAATTTTATACAGAATTATTAGGTTGTAAGATTCTATAGTATAATATCAAAGTCTATATATTTAACACGATTAGGCAGAAAAACCTGAAAAAAATCAAGTTATTCAGCGAACAAATAGGTCCTTGGTGAGCCTCACCTTCCAATTTTTTGATCGGCTTTAAGCCTATATCGCATTACTTGCTTCTTGAAATTCATGTTGATTTGTGTCTTTTATTATTTATCGCATTGTCCTAATTTTAATAAGCAAATATAACTAAAACCTTAAGACTAAAAATACATATTAAAATAGCTTGATACAGATATATAATATCACATATGGATAAAAAAATAAATGACAACAAGATCAAATTACAAAATACAGTTTCTATGAATTAGCAGCAACAATTCAAAAAAATAGACAAAACACATAACTTAGTTATATAAAATCGATGCCACTTTGGTACGCAATCTCACTTGGTTACTGTGATCTCAATTGTATACAAAAATGGCACCACAATTGCGTATAATCTCATGAAGACATTCACATCGAATTCAGTCCCTAACACTAACTAAAATCGCAAACCGAAGCAGCACCAAAAAAATATTTTGTACTAAGAAATTTTATTCATTATGATGAATTTACTTTACATAAAATGATAAGATGGGTCATGAAATGATCCAGAGAGTGATTGTGGAACGTTCACAATTGTTGAGTGAAGTGCACCAACGTTTCGTACTCGTTTACTCGGATCTGGTAAAAGAGAAGCTTTAAGATCCAAATGTGAAGACAACTTTGGCTTTGGCACTCTGTTTCTTGATGGTAGAGAATATTCTCTGCCTTGCATGCAATGGTCATGTAAAGCCATGGAATCAGAATTGGTGGATCTTGGAATGGAACGTTTAAATTTATTTGGAGTTGTTAAGACAGATTTAGGAACGCTAATTCGGATAAAACGAGGTGATGTTTTTGTACCAGGGTGAACACTGATGCTGGGATCAACAGGTACAGGGTAAAGTCGAGAGTTGACTGTGTAATCCAGAATTCTAGAGTCTTGCGTATCAGCAGGATCTGGAGAGATTGGATATTTTTTTCTTGGTTTAATCGGAGTTAAATATTTCTCATTTGCATTTTCGACTTTTCCACTGCATTCATCCCGATTCGTTTTTCGAAACTCATCAATTTCATTGATAAAATCCTGAGTAACAACAGCTGAAACCCCGCCCGAAGATCTCGGCAGACTATCCATTTCTACGACTCCAGCAATCCAATCATATCCGAGCAAAGGTTTCGGAAGTGGAGCGATATTTTCATCAATGCACTGACTGTGTCTTAGTAAGCGAGAATTATCAGGACTATCAACAGAAAATTTGACTCTGTTTTTGCCTCCTGGTGTGTGCCGAGCTTTCGATGCAAGGATGGATCGTTTCGGAGTCTTCATATTATCGGAAGCCTGATAAGGTTTTGTTGACCGCGTCTTAGATTTTGGACCCATGTTCTGGTATCTAGGAGTCTCTGTGTTATCTTTATATGAAAAAGGAAAGAAATAAAAATATACAGTTATGAGAGCAGACCTATAATTCTGTATTTAGCAATTCCTGGATTTCAAATCATGAAAAAAGCAGTTTGATAGAGGGCATGACCACGGGCAGAGAAGGGTCTTACTACTTACTGAATAGAGCGCGAAACAGCGCAGAAGAGAGGGAAAGAGCGCGAAACAGCGCAGAAGAGATGGAAACATTTTTCCCTCCATTATTTCAGTATTTATTAGCGTCCGTAAAATTTCAAACAATTTGATGGGAAACAGTATACAGTGGTAGGGAATGATCACGGGTTTATATCAGTAATCTTCAAATAACCAAACATGACGCACCCGTGTTCAGGTTGTGCATCATCTTGGTGCACATACTTCATGACGCACCCTAACCTGGTACACATACTGTGTTCAGGTTGTGCGCCATCTTGGTGCACATACTTCATGACGCACCATAACCTGGTACACATACTGTGTTAGGGCTGTGCGCCCCCTTGGTGCACATACTTCTGGAGTTCCAAATTTTCTTTGATTGGTGTGCTCAAAGTGACTACCGGTACCGTATAAGTCACTTTGGATGTGCTCATATTACGTCATGTTGGGTTATTTAAAGATGTTGAAGATTCTGAGATTACTGATAAAAACTCGTGATCATTCCCTACTACTGTATGCTGTTTCCCATCAAATTGTTTAAAATTTCATGGACGCTAATAAATAATGAGAGAAAAATGTTTCCATCTCTTCTGCGCTGTGTCGCGCTCTTTCCTTCCCTTCTGCGCTCTAAGTACAAGTAGTAAGACCGACAGAGAAAGATGTAGCCTATAAGGATAAGATTTCCATATTTATCCCAGGAAAGAGGCATAATAATATGGCAAACCACGGCCTCTTGTCTGCTCGTCCGGTTACCATAATGCTGCACTACGTACGGTATCTGCTGTACAGTACGGTACCGGTGACGTTAATACCGTAACGTTACGTCACGGCCCTTTTTCCAAATTTAAATAAAATTTGCTAATCATATTTTACCGAACCGCAAATTACATTTATCTAGAATAGTTTATAGGCTAATACATTATAAAAGTGGAATGAATGACAGAATGAAGATTCTGTCGACGACGGAACAGCCCAGCCAAGCCAAATGTCAGAATGTCCACCAACGGTCGGAAATCAGATTTGTGTATGAGGTGTATAGAGTCGTAAAATAGAAATCCAATGAATGTGAAATAGGCGGATTTTTCGTCGTTTACCTACATTATAGTAACAGCTGGTTATTTAATGATTATTTTGTTCAAGTACGTAAATAATATGTGATCACATATTCTTTTATATAATAAGAATCTAACGATTGATATTTATTATCGGTATTGCAAATAGTGAAATCAGGATGCCTCAATTTCTCACAAACTCTGGACATGGTGGGCGTCACTACAATTTTACGTCGTAAAATGACACTATTCACAGATTCATAGCATAGGTACTATGACTCTATTTTTAATTTTTGGTATTACCGTCCATAACCGTGTCAAGATTTAGTTGTGATTATACTGACAGTGACAGTATTGTTGTTAGTGATACTGAATTTTCCCTAATTTTTTTTAAAAATTTTCCCATATATTTGAACACGTAAAACAGTGGCTTTAATTAATCATCTTTCGTTACATAGAATTTAAGACTTCAGGTTCGAATTCCATGATTGTTTCAGAATCGGATCGAATATTTTTTTGAATCGAATCTCGAATAGACATTTAAATGATTGCGCTATGCCCCCCAGACATATAAATTGAAGAAACATAAAATACGTCACTCAGTTCGCTCAGTTGTCGCACACAATAAGAAATGTGTTTCATCAATAATTCATTTCGAAAAAGAAATTAGAATTGCATTTTAAAAAAATGACTTAAAAAAATGTGGGATTCACATCGACGTTTGAAGAAAAAAAAAATGCCGGCTATTCCAATTTTTCGTCCACTAATCCGATTCAGATAATTTGCTATTGCTATTTCGAATCGAAATACCCGGCCAAGAGATGTAGCCTTCGTGTAGCGCAACCCAATTTCCATGTTGAAATTATAACAATGATCTGAAGTTTCAGATTGAACATGTTTTTCGAACACTACACTACTATGAAATAAATAGATAGACTACTCTACAAAAAGGACAGATTGTCACCAAAGTTGCTTACCTTTGCTTGGTTTCACCTTGGACAAAAAAGCCACAAAAAGAAATTACGTAGTCAACAGAATTACCTTAGATTTAGTTTGATTGTTTGATATCGCAAACGAAGTGTAGGTTCACCACTCTTCTCAATGGGGCATTCACTTAGATTATGTTTGATTGTTTGATATCGCAAACGAAGTGTAGGTCCACCACTCTTATCACTGAGATTAAATCAGGACGTTATTGGACACGTCAGTGGACATAACGATTGTTTCAATATTATGTTGTTGTTCTTGTTTATCTTCCCTTTCGTCATGATAAAATAGCTTTTCTCTTCAAATACTGGACCAATTGCTATGAAATTTTCAGTGATTAAAGTTGGATTTTTTCGCCAGAAAGGTATTAATTTTACTTATTTCAAAAATTTTTGTGGACTTCAAGCGATTCGTTTTTTATGTTTCAGATTAAAAAATAGCGACATCTTGTGGCGTGTCCATATATTGATAGGGGTACATGATCCTTTTTCCGTTCGATTTTTGGGGTGAAGTTAATGAACAGTTCGGAAACCAGTGGTGTAGGCTAAGCATTGTTGCTTATTTGCTTTTATAATGACGAATAAATAAAGTTTTGCCGTAAGCGCATATGGGTAAAATTCCAAAACTCATTCTAATGCGCGTTAATAATTTGAAAAGTCACCACTCAAAAAAAACACCCTTTCAACTGCTAACATGCTTCTTATGTCAGTGCGTACCTTTTCATTTAAAAAAAGGAAGACTTGTTTTCTTTGCTGATTCTCTTGGGGTAGGCTACTACTTCTGTCAGCTATAAATAATCAGTACCAACGTTGTTCGATTCAAACTTTGAACCTTAAATCAATAGTAGGTAATTTAATTCGGTATTATCAATGAGAAGAAAGCGAAACGAAATTAATGATTTTTTTTACTTTTCAGTTAAGTTTTGAGTGAGGTTCAGTTGTTTTGAGATACAGTTGATTATATAATATATATAGTCAATAGTTCTTTTCGTTAATCATATCTATGGTGACAATATAATCATTTTACAATTTAGCATATAAAATACAAATGAAAAGGTTTTTAATCCAACGCCATCATCTTCTTCAACTTTGTATTCTGAGGTAGCATATAATTGTAGAAAATCCAAAGAATCTTAATTAATCATTCTCCGGAGTGTGCACGCAATAAACGTTTCACGTACATCCGTCATTTTTTGTCGAATAGTCTCCCTCGTGAATCAAACCATATTCATTACTTGATCAATCTCTGAAAATACGTTCCGAATTGACAAATTGTTATTTTTGGTTTGCATGGCAACTTCCGACCATACTGATCCGGGTGAATAGATAAATACTGAACTTTGTTTGCATAATTCATTCTCTACCAAAGCTATTAGTTCATGTGTATCTCGCCAGATAGCGGAACATTTTTGCTCTGGATATTTTGAGCTGATGAATCGATAAAGATCAAGTTTATTGTAAAGCTGCATTTTCCAGCACCGTTGATCTCTGTAATATTCGAACTCTTTTTTGTCTTTCTCATTTTTCGCAATCTTTCGAAAAAACTCGTTTTGGAAAGTTGCATCTCTAATCTGATGTTTTATCTAAAACAAGAAGCAAACAATGAATGAAAAAACGCGAGTGAAGAATGGTTTTCTTTGCTGACAATGGTATTTGATGTATATATAGAACATATATATTTGCTTTGTCAGTTTCCACTTTTCATGAGATAGGCTCCTTATGGCAATACTGCGCAGTGTATATTGCATTCGCCTGTAAACATTTTAGTAACGCTTCAGTTTTTGGTTGTTGATTTCTAAACATTTTCATCTAACTGGTGACGAATGAAAGTAGTGGGAAAAAATATATATATAATACCAAATGCTTATTATAATATATAATATTAATCTAATATTGGTAATTCAATATCACATATAAGTATTTATAACTTGACTTACTGTCTCATAATCCGTAGCAGCAGTTGCCAAATAAAATTTGACTATTTTTGGGGTTTGGCAGTTTGTTGATAAATCTGTCAATTTCTATAAAGTAAATACAAAGCTCAAATATATTGACGAAGGGCAAATGACTAATATTGCCACAACAGTACCAGTGAAATTTTATACAAATGATGAATAAATTGCACTAAACTTCATATGACGATGTGCTCAGGAGTTAAACAAATATTAAAATTAAAGGATGCCAAAATAAAGTGAATATAAACTGTATGAAGGTATATCGCTATTTTGCATTTGGACTTACACATACATAGGTAGCTGGGGTGTGGAGTTATTTTGGCGAAAATTTTCACTTGTTCTAGCCCATTTCTGCAAATATGGATTCTGGTAACATTAAAAGATTTCTCGTGCAATTTTTAATGCTATTATCAATGCTCCTATTTCAATAAACAATCTTAATTTAAAAGAGACTAGATGTCAAAAACAGACAATATATGGAAAATATAAAAAAAAAAATATTCCAGGTTGAAATTACGCATCCAAAATGTACTAACTATCGACTTACCTCTTGAATGCTCAGTTTTCTGCCAGCAAACAAAATTGCTTCCGATAAGTTTGCGGTCTTAACTTTTTTCATTTCAGGACAAAAGTTACGTGATGTTTTACATCTATACTCAAAGTTGTATCTGACAATGATATCAGTTTACGTTATTAACCAATTGTTACTTTGTTTCTGTTTTATAATTTAGATTCATAACAGATGCACTTCAGGTATAAAGTTTTATGCTCAAATTATATTAATAAATTTGTTCATTTTCTTCTGAGAGTGACTGACCGAAAAGCAAGCAAGTTAACTTTTCTCGATGGAACTTAATTATGTCGAGAACTTACCTCCAATGCAATGCAAAGTATACTTGATTTTTCATCACTTCGCTAATAAATTCTGATGCTAATTCTCGAACATATCTAGGTCTTTGTGTGAAGACTTCTATTAATTTATACTTCGTTTCAAAATTGGCATCATATACGTCTTTTTGGGTGACAGATGATAAATCTTTCATCGCTTTCATCAAAATAGGTTGGCTGACGTTTTGTAACAACTTTATAGGATTTTTGTATGTATTGATAAGTACTGCACAAGGTACGTCTGACCTGTTAAAAAAGGGTCGTAAGTCAGATACGGATTTCTATACAGAAAACAGATTAGTTAGTCTACTTATAGATATATTAGTAAACGGTTTTCGGCATCAAATTTAAAGCAAGCAAGTTAAAATCGAATATGGTAATTATGAACTCTGTGATGAAATTAGCATTCGATATAGAATATTTTTCTAAGGTTGAGTATAAGGTAAACTGTAGAGACGAAAAAGTAATAAAATTTAAAACTATCCAAAAGCATGGTAAATATTATATACGAATTTTGATATTTCTCACCTAAATTGATCTTTTACGCTTTGTAGAAATTCTGAAAAACTTTTATGATGTATTTCTCGCACTGGCAGAAGAGGTGGAAAACAATCGGGTCTGTGTTTCTTTTTCACAAATCTTAGGTAAGTGAAATGATCCTTACCAAATAAATGATCATATGAAGAAGTGAGTGACATTCCGCTTGTTTTTTCCAAAAAGTATTGGAAATCACATGATGTGACCAATTCCTGATGCAAATAATATTATAAAATAAGACAATTTTCGGAAATTGGAAACTTCCATATATATACAGAATTTCTACCTT